GGAATCGATAATCCATTGGGAATAATGATTTAGTGATAGGTCTGGGCGGAGTTGTCGCCGGTGTCACGGGCAGGAGAGGCCCCGTCCGCAGCCCGCAGCCGCCGTGGGGCAGGGGCGCAGGCAGGGAGGGCAGTCCCACCGCTGCGAAGGTTCAGGTCGTTGTTTCGTCCCTGCCCTGCTCCTCCAGGTGCGTTCCTCATCCCCTACTTGATGATGCTGGCTCTGGCCGGGATTCCCATTTTCTTCCTGGAGGTCTCCCTGGGGCAGTTCGCCAGCCAGGGCCCCGTGTCGGTGTGGAAAGCCATTCCCGCCCTGCAAGGTGAGCCGAGCCGCATTTGGGGTGCTCAATTTGCGCCTTCCCCCGCTCAATTTCCGCCAGTGTCCCCCCCCACTCCCCTCCCAATCCCATCCCGCCTGGGTTTAACGGCGTTAGCCCCGTGTCTCTCCCGGTTTCTCCAGGCTGTGGCATCGCGATGCTGATCATCTCGGTCCTGATAGCCATATACTACAACATTATCCTCTGCTACACGCTTTTCTACCTTTTTGCATCCTTCGTCCCCGTGCTCCCCTGGGCTTCCTGCAACAATCCCTGGAACACGCCAGACTGCAAAGATAAAACCAAACTTTTGTTAGGTAAGTTGGGACAGATGGGGTTTGCCACCTTGCCCCCTCTCCGCTTTTCTTTTTATTTTCTCCTTCTTTTTATTTTTTTCTTTATCTTTTCCCCCATTTCCTTTCCATGCGTTTCTGCGCATTATCTTTCCCCCGTTTTGTTCTGTTTCTTTCCTCCCATTTCGTTATTTTTCCCATACTTCTTTCTCACTCCATTTCTTTTTTTCCTCCCCCCATTTCTTTCATTTGACCCCCCCTTTTTTATTTTTTCCTTCTTTTTTTTTTTTTCTTTTTTTTTTCTTTCCCTGTGTCCACGGTGGCTTTCCAGAGCTTTCTCCACCTCAGCTGTGCCTCTGGGAGATGTCAGAGGAGACTGCGGATGACCATAGCCATGCGAGGTTCCCAGCACGGGAGCACTGTCTCTTCCCAAGATGCTTTTATGTGGTCTGCAGCAAATGGGCTGTTCTTTTATTTGCATTTTTCCTTATCAAGGATAAATGGAATTTTTCAGCTATAATTCACCCCCAAATCCTCTACTTGTGTGCTTCTGTAAGCACGGTGCTCCAGAGATGTAACACAGAGCATAAGTTCAAGGAATGTGTGTGACCTAGTGCTTTTTGTTGTCATTTTATACTCAACCTGAAGAAAAAAACCATCTAAGCAAGTTATTTTTCTCTTCTCCCCCCTCCTCTTTTCTTCCCAGATTCCTGCATTATTGGTGACCACCCAAAAATACAAATCAAGAACTCCACTTTCTGTATGAGTGCCTATCCAAACCTGACTATGGTTAACTTCACCAGTGAAGGCAACAAAACCTTTGTCAGTGGAAGTGAAGAATATTTCAAGTAAGATCTTTCTTGGTTTAAGACATTATATTCATCTTCCTCTAAACCCCACTTTAACAAACACCACCTCCCTATTTGGAAGGCTGAAAATACAAGTTACGGACATCAAATGATACCCATTTTTAGGCTTAGGAATGATGAGAGCTGAGTTTCAAATGCTGGGTTATTTGTGCTCTGTTCCTATGGTGCTTAGCTCAGCTGCAGGGTTGGCCCTGGCAACTTTATCTACTACTGCAATGCAGATAAATAAAATAATTCATGGTGAGAATCACTGGAACCTTCTAGAGAAACCGCTGAGAGAGCTGAAGCAAAACAAAATACTGTAGGAACTGGCACTGAATTACTGCCTGCAGTTGCTGTCATTAATTTTTATTCTTTTAACGAATTTTTTTCTAATTTCTTTTTTATTCTTAGGTACTTTGTACTGAAGATTTCAGCAGGGATTGAATATCCTGGTGAGATCAGATGGCCTTTGGCACTGTCTCTTTTCCTAGCTTGGGTGATTGTCTATGCTTCCCTTGCTAAAGGAATCAAGTCATCAGGAAAAGTAAGGAAAACAACTGTGATTGTCCACTTGCAAAAAAGCAGCATGCTGCTTGTAAGGAATCACGCTCTGGTTGAAGGCAGTAAATTACTGAAACTGATTTTCACTAAGTGGTTAACTATTGATGAAATGCCCTTTTCCTGGCTCTGCTTTTCTGTCTAGCCAAAACATTAAAAATAGAGAAAATTCTGGTTCAACATTTGTTCCCTAATCTTCAGTAAGCTTAAAAAGAACCCTTGAGCTGTACTCAGCACTTGGATGGCAAAAGCAGCCTTCCTTGCGGTGTGTGGTGTTCATTAATTCCTGCAATCATCTCTCATTTTGCTGGCATCAGGGAAATTGGGATGCAAACTAAGGTGTTACATTACATTTTAAAATCAGAACCAAATTTAAATCTACTGTGGTGAGTGTGAGCATTGCTGTGTGTATCCTGTTTTCCCTAATACCCATGTGCCATGTTTCTACAACTCCTCCTTGTGTAGCCCAGCTTCTTGCTCTGCTTCCCTGACCTCTCACATGTCACATTGGCCCTTGCCCCTCTCACCTGTAGCTTTCTGCCGTGCCCCCTCGCACACAACCCTTTCGAGAGGGAGCCTGCTACTCCCTGGAGTGGAAGTACAGGCACACAGGTTGGCCAGGCAGCACGTGAGCAGGGAAACACAGCTTTTCCTTCAGCAGCAGCACTGATATGAGCGTTCCTTTTTGTGAACCCTGCGGGAATGGGGTAGCTGAGCCTTTTTCATCAATGCCACTGCAATTAGCACACAAGTTAAAATGTTAGAAGGTGACATAGCATAAATCTAGCTTATTTACGAAGACTAAGACAATAAACTAGAGGGAAATAACTAGATATTTCCTGGAATAAGGATAGTGGATATGCAGAGATAGCTATGAATTTTCTTGAGCTGGGCACAAGGTTTCTCATTCCAAGCCACCCCTTTGCATCTAGAAGCTGACAATGTCTGTTGGGAGGTAGCTTGGGAATTGTCATTAAAATGTAAACCCAGTAAATCCAGAGGCTCAGAGCACCAGCGGAAAGGTGTGATTCTCTCCCCACCCCATCCCTTAATGTGACAGGAAAAATTGTTTCATGAAAGGCCAAAGCCAATAACTGGATGATGTACAGGAGAATAACTTGGGTTTAGATGTGGCAATAGTTATTTATTTCAGTGAGCCTTAGTGGCCAAGAAAAATACTGACTCTGGGGTCAGGGTCAGAAAACATAGATGATCTCAGTATCATCACCAGAAAAAAAAAAATAAAATCAAATCAATCCTCAGGGAAACTTCTTGAAACAGCAAAGACAAAGTTGGAAAAACAGTTTCCAAAGTCGCTGCATCTTGGAGGTTTCTGGTCCCTGTAAGATTCAGGAAAAGGCTTTGAAACACTTTTGAGTGTACTGCTTAACTGGCCTTTTCATTTGACTACAAAGAGAGCTCTGCTCTGTCCTAGATAATTATGAAGACATCAAAAGCTCCATCTCTGTTGTGTATTTAGACATCATGATGATAAGGTCTAACTGGATCGTTCCACTGACTTTTTTTTTTTTGCATTGAGACCATTAATATTGCCATAGTGATATGTAGTGATTAAGAGGTACAAAGAGTAATAGGCTTAGTTAAATACGGAGAAATACATTGAAAAAATCAGGAATGTAAATGTTACTGAATGGCATTGCTCTTTTAATTTCCATTGAATTGTGTTAGTTTACTCTTGGCAAGAATCAAAAGGGATATTTTCGTTCAGCTGTAAATTGCTGATGTTCCTCTCCAGACTTTCCTTTCTGCTGTTTCTCCTCTCTCCATCTAGAATCCCAACTGTTACCTCTGTTGCTGTTGATGTTATTCCTGTTTCTAGCAACGAGAAGAGCTGTTAAACTTCAGATTTCCTGGGAAACAACCCTGTTGTCTTCCTAGTTTAGCCCCTGGCTATTGTCTCTGAGCTTGAGTAATTGCTTTCTTCAGGGAATAGTATAGCACTTGTATTTCTTTCTGCACTTCTTAGGGATCCAAATAAGCCCTTTCAGTAATCTGTTTTTCTTTTGTCTGCCTAGGTTGTGTACTTTACAGCTACGTTCCCCTATGTAGTTCTCGTAATCCTTCTTATAAGAGGAGTAACTCTACCTGGAGCTGGAGCTGGAATCTGGTACTTCATCACGCCAAAGTGGGAGAAGCTAATTGATGCTATGGTGGGCTTCTTGTTGCACTTTTAGCTCTGCTAGCATGAATAAGTCGTGCAGATCTCTTAGTGCCTGTTACCTGCATTTTCTGTGTGCAGAGGCAGGATTGGCATCTGTGCAAACTTGTTCCTTATATTAGGTAGAGTGGTGTTATTTGTGTTTGTTATTTGTGGATGTTTGGTTTTTAATGTTTGCTATGTTTTAAAAAACATAACATTTCTTAACATATGTTATTATAATGTTATTTATTTCACACTGAATATTTCACCTGAATCTTTGAGAAGGTGGAAAATAGGGAATTAAAAAGGAAGTAAGTATAGATTTTTATATGCTCGTGTCTGTCGGATGCTGCCTTGACTTGAACAAGCACATGAAGCTTTTAAGAGGTGACATAACAAACTTAACTGTGCTTCTTGAGAAATGCTCTGGATGGGCATGTTTCAGTCTCTGAACAAAGATTGTTCTGAATAACGCATATGAGAGATTTGATTTAACAAAATCAAATGATACATCCCGATCTAACTCCTCAGTAGCACTTATAATGGCACAGAAGAGCTGTGTTCCCATTTTCATCATGTTGTGAGAAGTAAGGCTATGTGCTGTGTAGGAGGAGGCAGAATGAAGGGACCTGGTGACTGGCTTTGCTCTTCAAGCATTGACTGTATGAGCTGGGGCTTCAGCTCTGCTTCCTCATGATTTCAGCTGGTTTCTGAAAAGCCGTTTTTTGCCAGTGAAGCCAGTAAAACATGTCCCAAAACCACACACGGGTTTGTGTCTGTAGACTTAACCCATTGATCATATATTTGTCTGATACAATGTGAGAGCCTTTGTGTCGGTCTTGGGTGTCTTAAAGCAGGAGTCTGGAGATGGAAGTCTGAGCTGGGAGTTAGAAATCGGAGTATTTCCCCTAGATATTTCAGAGGGATTTTTAGCAACACCACAGGAAATTTACTGTATTTATTTTTCCCCTCTACAAAAGTTTTTCCTCTATTGATAGTGGTGTGATATCACACTGATAGTCTGATAAATCAAAGCTGAAAACAGTTTTCTGGATAAACTGTGCAGATCTTAATTTACTTAATACTTCTACAAATAATGGGTGTTTTGATCCTTTGGGGGTGGGAGTATTGAATCTTTTTACAAACAGTACAGAAATGAATTTTGCATTCAATGTGAGCGGTTTTGGATCCCACATTGTGCAATAAAGGAGGTGAAAATTGCTGCTTTTTTGCAAAATGGGGCTGTCTGAATACACTGAGTATTTATATAGCCCTGGGTAAGTGATAATATTCAGGTGAGTGTCTGTTTCCATTTTTCTTTGCAGTGTAACACGAATTAATAGATATATATTACACTTAGATGAAGGACTGACTGCTTGTTGGTAACTTCTAAAGTAGCATTTGAGTAATACCTTCTCACTAGTTAGTGAGTGTCTAGGTGCACTGTGTGTCTGTGCGTGTACCTGTATGTATCTCCATGTCTGCACTGTGGACTTGGGTGGAAAATCAGACTTCATAGGAAAGCTTGTAAATACAAATACCAATACCCCAAACATTTTGCAAGTGATAAGTAAGACAAGCTTCTCTGAAATTCCAGGGTATTTAGAAATGTAAAGGAATTTACGGCTTCGAAAAACTTTGTTAGAGAACAAACTATACTGTTCGGTTGTTGTGTTTGTGGCTTTTTAAAGAGAGACTTGACTGAACATGCCTTTTCTTCTGATGGGAGAAAACTGTGTCCTCATGTCTAAATAGCCCTAATTTACGCTGTGCTGTTTGATTTACATCTAATGATAGATATTTACCCTAATTCTATTGTCATTTCATTCATAAGTAGCACACCAAGCAACACTGAGGTTCTTACTTCCATGAAGAAGATAAAGTACTACTTAGGGCTACTGGCAGATAAACCATCAGTGCCTGATGTAGATTTTGCCTCTTGATTTGCATTTTCATTGCTGAATATATTTGGACTGGTATGTATCAAGTGATATAGTTTGAATAGTTGTGCATTCCATACACAGCAGAAGTTGTATTTTCATTTTATGTGGGCTGAGCAAGAACAATACTCTTCATCAAATCAAATGGGTACTGCGGATTTCAGAGCAGGATTTTGCTTTTGAATTTTCTGTTAATTGCTCTCAAGCTCATTTAAACTACTGTGTTAATCACCTCACAGTAACATTTCAGAGTGTTGATCTTTCTATCATTCTTTCCTGAAGCCAATGCTATTTCCTTATCTTTCTTAGGTTTGGAAGGATGCTGCCACTCAGATTTTCTTCTCCTTATCTGCAGCATGGGGAGGCCTCATTACTCTCTCTTCTTATAACAAATTCCATAATAATTGCTACAGGTATGTGAGAGTGAAATCCATTGGTCTTATTCAACAGGTCTTGTCCAAAAACTGTCTTCCAACTTGCAGACATCTGGTTTGAAGGACCCCCCTCTTTTTTAATCTCCTCCTTCCCTGTCCCCTCCCTGACCCCTACCTTCCCTTCCCTTGCCCTCCCTTCCTCGTTTCTTGAATCCCTTTTTGTGTGTGTGTGTGTTTTATGTTCTCTCCAGGTCCTAATCTACCAGTCTCAAGATGAGTCTTAGGCTTTTTATAGTTCCTACTGGCTCTTGATTTTCAGAATCGGCAGTTTTAGGCTGCAAAGCAACCTGTGAAGCTGTCAACAGCCACAGGCAGTGGTATGAAACCCTGTCAGCCTCCGCTGACCAACCACCTGTGTGTTGGTGGGAAGCTGAAGCTTGTCTGTGTGAGACATGCAGGGGTTTAATGTACAGTTTCCATAGATGTGATTCTTGTCCCTCCTAAATATTGTGTCCACCCCACCCCAATTCCTCTTAGTGTGGTTTTACAGGTATAAAGTTATCTGAAGTTGTGAAATTGAAAATTGCTTTTACAAGGAAAAAAGTCATGGTTCTAGTCATGTAGTTCTAGGCATAGTACAGTTTTTCATCAAAAAGAACATCAGGTAAATGTCTGCAGATGGAAAAATTAAAAGCAAGTGACATTAGTAGAATGCTTCATTGCTATTTGGTTGTCTTTAAAGTAAATCTTGTTTGTACTGAAGCAAACCTCTCCTGATTCCTGCCATGACAGAGGTGCTGATTCAGACCAGCCAACAGCATGCACCAGACAGTCCCAAGGGTATGCTTAAAAATGTTCCTGAATCAAGACTTTAAAGCACACACTCCTTGGGATTTGAACTCCCATATCCTATAACTTCGAAGTACTGTACACAAAATACCTTTAAAAAGAAATGGGGATTGGGATTTTAAAAATTAATGACAAAAATGTTTCCTACTAGTGTTCAAAAGTAATTTAAGAGAATTATCCTAAAATACAGATGAATAACAGCATTGCGTACTCAGTAACTCCCACCCAGCAATCCCTTGTGTCCTATTTTTGACAATGTTTGTCCTGGGCTTTGATTTATTTTGGTGATGAATGGATATATTCAGAATATCAGGGCAAAAAAAATCAGAGAAACCTCGTGCTATCTTTGTGCATTGATTTAGCAACGTTTTGTGGAGTTTGGGAAATGTGACTCAAAGTTTTGACTGAAACACATGGTAATGAAGTATAAAAATCTTACAGGTATAGAACTAAATACATGCTTTACCTATGTTAGAAAGGGATATGGGAGACAAGCAGAAATAATTAGCAAAGCATAGTTACTTCTGATCTTCTTAATTTTACAGCACATCCTGAATGCTGAAATGAAGCATGACTATTCTCTTTCAATTTTTGTATTCCTAACATGCTAATACTGCAGACAAAATTGTAGTTTCAGTTACATATTCATTTTAAACACCGTTAATCAATCTATAATTGCAGAAATTTTACATAAATTCACTTCATAACGCATACCTAAAATATTTTACTTAAAACTTACCTGGGTTTTGGAGGAAGGTTAACACATGAGGATTCCAAACAGAACATTGTCATTTTTTTCTGTAGACCTGAAGAATTAACCTAAACATTCCTGTTAAGAGATGCTCTGTTACAGATTCCAGAAGTTTGCCAGCTCAGTGAGGTTCTTGACAGCTTTTTTGGTTATGTTTCCTTCTGTTCTTGACAAATAGCAATAGGAATAAGTAATTGTAGACAACTTAAACCCCTCACAAACATTTAAAGTGAGTGATGTATTTGTTCCTAAGTTGTACTAGTTTAAGGGAAAGTCTTCTGAACGCATGTATAGTGAAGAAAATAATAAAAACCCCATTAAGAATGTAACCATTATGGATGGGGATCATGAGGGCTGGTTTCCTGGCAAGTGACATGTACTTTGCCAGTATAGTATGATATTCAGGGGTGGCTGTCTTGACATTCCCTTAAGAGAAATGGATAACTGTACCAGGGAATCCTCTACGGATAGTCAGGCTTTTCAGTGAATGCTGCAAGGTACAGAAAGCTTAACCCTGGAATTTTGTGTATAAGTACAGGAAAGATACAGGACAAAAATTATCTTACCTGGGCGGTGGTGGTTAGTCTGTATGTAATGGTGAGCAGGTGCCCACATTAGAGAGTAAACCAGGGCATTACAAATCATGTCATCATTGCTATCTCCTCTGGAGAGGGCAAAGGCAGAATCTCCTGCGTGACCTGTGGTTTCCTGTGAGGGACTTGGGTGACAGAAACTTGCACAGCTGATTGCTGGTGGTGGTAAGACTTCTGTCATCTTTGATCAGCTTCAAACGTGCCTGATAAACATAAAAGTTCCCACAGGATGTGTGTGTTCATGAGGGAGACTCCTGAAATGTATATAAAACCTTCCCTTGCATGTATTGCAACAAGGTGACATGGCTTCTTGTTTGTTTTCTTTTCAGGGACACATTGCTAGTCACATGCACCAACAGTGCCACAAGTATATTTGCAGGTTTTGTCATCTTCTCAGTTATTGGCTTCATGGCAAATGAACTCAAAGTGAATATTGAAGCTGTGGCAGACCAAGGTAGTGTACACTGCTGTTTTGTTTTTAGGCACCTGATGGCACCTTTGGCTCTGTTATTAATGATGACTTTGACATTGGAGGTGTGAATAATGGCTTCAAAATGGATTGGGTTAGTAAACTAGGCATTTATATACTGCAAAAGGTACATTGGGAAGTCAAGATATTACCTCAAGCCTCTTTGGAAGAAGGAAGCAAGCTGAGACTCATTTCAAATCTTTATGTAAATGACAGATGGGAGGTAGGGTGAGATGTCTTCTTCACATAGTCTAAGGGATTACTGGCCTTCTCATTTGTTTCTGCTGCTGTTTGTCAAATCCTCTTCATGGTACAAGTTGTCCCTGGTGGTGGGAATCTTGGATTGAGAGCATGGAGGTTTTCGCCTTGTGGAAAGTGGGATAAGCATGGTGTGAGAGGTGGATGGAGATTCTGAAAGTGGGGAGAAAGGACCTGCCTCCATGGGGAAGTAAAAAATTTCTGAAGAACTGATTAGAAGGTCTTGATTAGTCAAGTGAGATTGTTACAAGTGGGGATCCGAAAGGTCTGAATTGGTAGAGCGGAATGTGAGTGAGAAGTGTGACTGATGGAGGCATTGGTGCTGTTGTATGATTTGGTATGAAGCAGCAGGAGGTAGGAAGGGAGGAGCTTCTCTGTGAGGATGGTTCCCAATGTTATGCCTCTCAACCCAGGGTAGCGCAGAGAGAGACGAGATAGAGGATAGAAATCAAAACAACTTTCCATGGTTTCTGTATGGTAATATTATAGGTCATTCTGGAAAAATCAAAGTATTAAGATTAATTTGCACTTAACAGTGATTTGGGGGCTAACTGGAAAACATACAACATGAGCCGGGGACTCAGAAATCCTGTAGTTATTGGAACAGAGCTGTTGAAGCAGGCAACACATTATTTTTTCTCAAAAAAAAATAGTTTTTCTCAGAATGTTTCTAATTGTTCATTAGAAATCAGCTACTACAGGTGGAAAGAGGTTATCAGCAGAGGAGGGAACAAGGCATTGCTGCCAGTTAAGAAAAAGGAAGGGCTCTTAGTTTCCTTTTGCTTATTCCTTCTATTTAAATGGCAGCGTGGATAATCCCACAGAATTTGCATCTCAGAAACAAATAAACATGCTGGTCACATACAATTTCTGCAGCTCCTTTGTTCATGACGTGGCAGCCCAGCAGCTGAGGTGAGGGAAAACTCATGGGCTGCAGTTCAGTCACAGGGAGTCAGCTTATCTGGGGTTTGGACCAGTTGAGATGTACTGGGATGGACTGACTGGTAATGGGGCTGTGGATTCAACTGGAGGGTCTGAGAGGAGAAGTTCATAAGATGGCCAGCTAGCAAATTGTTCCTTGATAGGAAGTAATAAGGGATACTGCACTTGTAAGCTAATGTGATACCAATTCAGTCTTCAGTGCCTCATCTCTTCTTTGTTGTCTGCCATTCAGCTGGGAGGGAACAGAAAGGTTCCACTGTTTTCCTGTTTTCTGGATGGATTAGACTCTTACGTTTGACAAACTCCGTGTGAGGCCAAGTGTTTTAGGAGTAATGTTTCTTTCAATGTTTTCGGTTTAGATTTTATCTCCATCCTGAAACAGACAAATCCCAAACAAAACCAACCCCAAAATCTGAATCACACTGACTCACTGAAATCACTTGTAAGGAGTTGGAGTCATCATAGGATCATCATAGAATTCCAGACTGGTTTGAGTTGGGAGGCACCTCAAGCTCACCCAGTTCCAGCCCCCTTCCACGGGCAGGGACACCTTCCACTAGACCAGGTTGCTCCAAGCCCCTGTGTCCAACCTGGCCTTGAACACTGCCAGGGATGGGGCAGCCACAGCTTCTCTGGGCAACTGGTTCCAGAGCCTCAGCACTCTCACGGGGAAGAACTTCTGCCTAAGATCCCATCTCAATCTCCCCTCTGTCAGGTTAAAGCCATTCCCCCTTGTTCTGTCCCCACCTGCCCTTGTAAAAGCCCCTCTTCAGCTTTCTTGTCAGCCCCTTTAGGCACCGGCAGCTGCTCTAAGGTGTCCCTGGAGCCTTCTCTTCTTGAGGCTGAACAAGCCCAGCTCTCTCAGTCTGTCTCCTTAGGATAGTCAAAGAGGCTGTGCTTGAGCTCCAGAGAGATGGACAGAGAAGGGGACGGACAGACGTAGCTGTTAGGGATAATGGAGGAAATGCTTGGTTCAGCTGGTTCATGTCCTTGGTGATGACGTAATCCTTAGGACAGGGGATCACAAACCTGCTTCTGTTGAATGCTTGTTGGTGGCCTGTGGGTGAGCAACGAGTTGCAGGCTGGAATATTCTGTTCCCAGCTATTCCAGCAGCTATTCCAAGGGATGGGAAAAAAGCTGTTATTAGGCAATCTTAGAGCAAGGCTGTGAGTGCATTTGTAAGAACCTTTTGAGGCCACTGAAAAATATTTCATGAGGGTGAGGCATTAAGAGATGGAAGTACAGAAGGAAGAGAGTGAATAAACCACTTATCATGGAGAGAAAGGTAAGATAATCTATTTTTTTTCCTCCGACTCTCGATTTGATTAAGAACATAGTGCAGCTGAAAAATCTGAGTAATTTAAAATGAAAGCTCAAGGTCATTTAACTTTTTTCATTTCAACACATATGAAACCTTCTGAGTTTTCCTGGCTTTAATAGACTTTCAGGAAGAGTTCACACCCACCTAAGTCTCCAAAGATGGAGAGGGTGGGAGCCAGTCTCCCTGTGACTGTTTCCCTGTGGCTGGTTGCTCCCAGTCGCGGGTATCTTGGAGAGCTCTGAGGGACTGAGATGGAGAGATGTGCAGTTTCATGTTCTGTAATTAAATTTTTCCTAAAACTCAGTATTCCAACACTTACTTAAGCTTCTATATGCAGGAAGCTAGTGCAAACAGAGCCCTTATCCCTAATAGCCAAGAAGAAATCTTTAATCAAGAGATGAAAGAATGTGTTCGTGAATACACAGTAGTTCTACGCGCACCTTCCTATTCCAAAAAGCAATTTTTCTGCAGCACATTTTAAAGGTGGCAACAGTTACTGAATCATGTGTGTGTTGTTTGGGGTTTTGTTTTGTTTTATCATGTTAACTCTTTCGTTTGTCTGTTGTTCAGAAGGAACCACCAAACACTTCATGAGTTGCCCATGGAGATTATTTGACATGTGCTGTAACTTTCTTGGTATGTAAGAAAGCAGCAGTTCCCTCTGGAACAGAAACAGTGTGGAGAATTGCAGGAAATGCAACACAATAATCTAGGTTAGAAATGATGAGGACAGAGTGAGTTTGGAGCCCCTTCTCATGGCATGGGGGCATGGCACCACTGCAACTGGACTCTAATTTGTATCTTGCCTGACAGGAAACATCCTTCAGTGTGTTCCAAGTGGGTGCTCCATTAGCTGGGATAAATGGGGAAGAAGTGCCATCTACTGTAACACTGCTACTACATTCCTGCAGCCTTTTCTCCCAGGCAAACCTAGGCAGATTTGTAAAAGCTTTTTTCTCACAGTCAATACAAATTATAGCCCAAGATATCAAACCAACAAAGAAAAGAAAATTCCCAGATAAGGCTTTAAAAGATCCATCTCATTTTTCCTGCTGTGTGTTACTGTAGAATTTCTTGTGGAGTTTTTAGATTCATGGTAGTGATTACCTTGTGTGTGGTGTCAGCAGCTCTGTGCATCTCTCATAGTCTGTCCTCATTTGACTGTGTGCTGATGAGTTAAAGAGTATTTTGCCGAGGTGAGTATCTGCAGGGAGTACGCCTTCAACACTGGAGTGTGGGAAAATACAGCATTCAGGTGTTTCAAGGCTGTTCGGCAAGAGCCACTGGCAGAGTTCTGCGGGGCAGCTGGTGCCGGCAGCGAGCGGGATGGTGAGCGCTTGCCTCAGGGACAGGGCACGCTCTGGGAGCTCTGCTCTGGCTGCCCCGGCCGTGGCAGCGCCGGCACCAGACAGAGCCGGTGGCAGGGGAGGCTGCAGCGCAGAGCTCGGGGTGTGGGAAGTGCCTCCGCTGGTCTCTTGAGGCGAGGGTGCGCAGTGGACAGGGCTGCGCTCGGTGCGCCCTGGTGGTTGTCCTCCTGCAGCAGCGGCTGAGCTGCGGGACACTGTCGGTGAGCTAAAAGGTGTAAGGGAAGCTGAGAGAGGGAGCTGGACTGCTTGCTCCAGCCCCAAACTGTGCAGGGGCCACAAGCATCCACCCTAGTACGGACAGAAAAGGAAGGCATTAAGCCAGGAAGCTGGGAGCTAGTAGAAAAGAAAAAAACAACCCAACAAAAAAAGGAGGAAGAGGACAATTAAAAGCAAGGGGCTTCCTCCAAAATCCGACTTCCCCACCCAGAACCGCTTCACTACTGATCACTACTGGTGCTTGCAAAAAAACCTACAGCAGGTCATAGTAGTAGGTGACTCTACTTTGAAATGCACAGAGGCACCATCTGTCAGCCTGACCCAATCGCAAAGGAGGTGTGTTGCTTACCAGGGGCTAGGATCAGGGATGTTGCCAAGAGGCTGCCTGGTCTAGTAAGTCCCACTGACTATTACCCACTTCTTGCGATCCATGTGCGTGCTAGTGATATAGACAGCAGTATCTTGGGAATAATTAAGAAGGACTACAGAACCCTGCAAAAGGTGGATAGGGGCCCTTGGGCTCAGATAGCTTTTCGTTGGTTCTCCAGGTCAAAGGGGAGTACTTTGCAAAGGCCAGGCGGATTTGGCAGGTTACTAAATGGTTAGAAGGGTGGTGCCATTGTCAGGGGTTTGGTTATTTAGATCATGGGACTCAATTTGGGAGGCCAGGTCTACTGGAGGCTGGTGGAGCTGATCTGATGGGAAGAGCTTCTTTGGAAGGAGAATTGCCAGACTGGTCAAGGCAGCTTTAAGCTAGATGTACCAGGGGAGGGGAGCATCAATCCATCCCAACACTCCCAGTTAGTTGCCAGCATGTGTAATAAGCGCTTGGAGTGACGAAGAGCAACTTCAGCTGCTCCAAGTAATGAGTCTGCTTCATTTGGAGCTTGGCTCAGATGCCTCTGTACAAATGCCTGTAGTATGGGGAACAAACAAGAGGAATTAGAGATGTGCACATGTACATGGGGATATGACATTGTTGGGATCACAGAAACATGGTGGGATGGCTCCTATGGTGTTGGAATGGAAGATTATAGGCTCTTTAGGAAAGACAGGCCAGGCAGATGGGGAGGAGGAGTAATTATTTATGTCAATGATAGGCTGGAGAATATGGAACTCTGCCTGGGGACAGGTGAAGAGCCAACAGAGAGCTTGTGAGTCAAAGGGAGAACTGCAATGAGTTCTGTGGCGATCTGTTGCAGGCCACCTGATCAGGAGGACTCTCTGGATAAAGCGCTCTATAGACAGACAGGAGCAGTCTTACACTCACAGGCCCTTGTCCTCATGGGGGACTTCAACCCAACATCTGTTGGAGGGATGGTATGGCCCAGCACAAGCAATCCAGGAGGTTTCTTGGTTGTGTGGAAGACAACTTTCTCTTGCAAGTAATAGAGGAGCGGGCAAGGAGAAGTGCCATGCTTGACCTCATGCTCACCAACAGGGAGGGCTGGTTGGAAATGTGGTGCTCCAAGGCAGCCTTGGCTTCAGTGATCATGGTATGGTGGAGTTCCAGATTCTCAGGACAGTGAGAAGGGCACTTAGCAAGCTCACTGCCCTGGACTTCAAGAGAGAAGACTTTGGCCTCTTCAGGAACCTGCTCAGTAAGGTGCCATGGGATGAAGCCCTAGAGGGGAGGGAGGGCCAAGACTGCTGGTTGATATTCAAGGATCACCTGCTACAGGCTCAGGAGTGTTGCGTCCCAACTAGAAGGAAGTGTGACAGGAGGGCCATGAGACCTCCATGGGTGGATAAGGAGCTGCTGAGGAAACTTAGAGGGAAAAAAGGAAGCTTATAAAAGGTGGAAGCGAGGACAAGTGGCCTGGGAATAATACAGGGGTGTTGTCTGGGAAGCTAGGGACCAGGCTGGGAAAGCTAAGGCCCAGTTAGAAGTGAGTCTGGCCAGGGATGTGAAAGATAACAGGAAGGGCCTCTATAGGTGTGTTGCAAACAAAAGACAGACTACGGATAATGTGGGCCCTCTCTGGAAGCTATGGGGAGAACTGGCTACCCTGGATTTGGAGAAGGCTGAGGGTCTTAATGACTTCTTTGCCTCAGTCTTCACAAGCAAATGCTCAGACCACACCACCCAAGTCTTAGAAGGCAGATGCAGGGACTGTGAGAATGAAGATCTTGGGTCCACTGTAGGAGAGGATCAGGTTCAAGATCACCTTAAGAACTTGAATGTGCACAGGTCCATGGGACCTGATGAAATCCATCTGTGAGTCCTGAAGGAAGTTGCTAAGCCCCTGTCCATCAGATTTGTAGTTCCCAATGACTGAAAAAAGGGAAATATAATCCCTATTTTCAAGAAAGGGAATATGGAAGACCTGGGTAACTACAGACCAGCCAGTCTCACCTCTGTGCCCAGCAAAATCTTGGAGCAGATTCTCCTGGAATCATGCGCTGAGGCACATGAAAAACAATGAGGTGGTTGGTGACAGCCAGCATGGTTTCACTAAGGGGAAATCCTGCCTGACCAATTTGGTGGCCTTCTATGATG